GGGTCTTGTGGCCAAAGGACATTAATTAGGAGATTGCTAAAGCCCTGAGGCTCTGCTCCAGAGCACTCACGCAAGCGTGCCACTGGTATAAAGTGAGCATGTCTGGCAGGGCAGCGGTGTGGGTTCTGCTGTTTCCGCAGAAGCTCTGTGACAGAGGGCACAGGGCACGAGATTACACTTATTGCACTGTGTCCTGGGAGTGGACATGCCCAATGGTTTCACCTATGCCAAAGCAGTGTGAAGTATACTGTAAAAACAATCTCATTTCTACAGCACTGCTCTGCTCATGCATGTGAACCAAAGTAAGGTAAGAATGGTTCAGTAACGCCACAAAATGGAGACAAAAAGGAGAACGAGCCCTGGGTTTCAATGGCTAAAATGTCAGCTTAAATGTCCTGTACTTCTCCAACCCACTGTAGCTCAGCTCATCCATGCCACACAAGCTGTATTTTTAGCTCACCAAACCTCTCAGCCGTTCACTGGCAGTCCCAGAGCCACAGCTCCCCTCAGGTGCAATGACTCTTTCTCTTCCCAAGCAATATGTTTGGCCATTTACCAACCAGCGCGTGGTCTGACTGATCCAGAGATATCAGAGCACTTCTAAAAAAAAGATGTTTTCCCCAAAACACTCTCTGATAATCAAACAAATCAAAGGGCAACCTAACTGGATCCACAAAAGCAAAACATGCAGCTGCCAAAGAACTGCTGTTATCTCTGGCATGGCTGGATTACTGGGACATTTCACAGAAACAAAAATGTATTTCCTGTGTAGACCCAGTTAAAGTACCTCTGGGGGAATGTTTCATGTGCTCTTAAGACCTGAAGCCAAAGCTACCCAACTGGCTTGTAAGTAATGAGGTTTCTTCCCAGGGGTTGATGGAAAGCACTGAGCACCCTCTGCTGCAGCTTAGCAGCAGCATCTGACCTTGTAAATACCTGCCAGAAGGGTGCTCTGCCCTCCCAGCAAGACAGAGGCTACCTCCTGCTGCCAGAGCTCAGATAACGTTGGAGGACACTGCAGGATTCAGCCCTCCACGACAGAAGCTACTGACCTCTCCTGATTCACACACAAGGTTTGGAGAAGAGAGCACAATCTATGTTGTAAAAGGTCAGCTATACCTTTCCTCCTGGGTCTTACCAGGTCCCCTCTACACAGCTGGGTCAGCTTTATGTCAGAGGGAGGAGGACTTTGCTGCCCATGCACAGGTCTCTGGGGACAAATGGAGGCTGTGGGTTACTCTCTATGCAGGTAATGAGACTTCAGGTGCTGCCTTGTTCATTTTCCATCTTGATCATTTTTTCTCCATTCACCCCATCATTTGTTCATGTACTTTCACTGCAGGATCTGGCTGCTTTTCTTGCTGTTCTGGCTGGGACAAGGGAGGCGGATGGCTCCCCCAGGTCGGTGAAAACATGATAAAAGAATAGTGGAGAGAAGTAAGGATGAAAACTTGGTTATTTTGCTTGTAACAAGATGTGACTCTTCTCTGCCCTCTGTTCCCACTGGCTGATCTGCTGTGTTTGTGTTCCCACCAGGTTTTGTAGAGAACAGTTGCCACTCCAGGATTTTTTGGATGAAACTGAATAAACTCTTGCTCCAGGGAAAGTTCTTCCAGCTGGAAATTAATGGTGAGTCACAAGCGGCTGCCCTGAGGACCATGAAGGCAGGGAAATCACCTAAGTGATCTGAATGTCTGTGATCTGGATGCTGCTGCCATCTATGCAATAATTAGTAACCAACCTCAAAGAACTCGCAGACATCCTTGCTACCTAGATCTGGCCTCTTGCACCTCAATTTGGTCAATATCCTTCTAGATGAGTAAAGCTTGCATCTACAGCCACAGTCCCCTTTGTGCCTTACAACTAACATGCTGGGGAAAGGAGAAAAGATGGTCTGAGGAGGAAGGACTGTCATTTGGCTTTCATTCTTTCCTCTGCTGAGCCCTTACACGTGTAGCAAGGAAAACAAAGGTGATACTGCAGCTTGGATGTGTCCTGGACAGCACAAAAAACACCACCAGTGTAGGCTGGGTAATACGCAGAAAACACAATCTCAGTGAGTGCTGAGTGATGAAACAATTAAAAGATTCTTTTCTTTTAATTTCCTTTGTATTTAACACCACAATGGCAGTTAAATACCCCTTGTTTAGACTGAACAAAGGGTTTCCGTTTTGCTGAGGAAAAGAAAAATCTACTTAACCAAATGAAAACCAGAAAATGTTCACATTAGATTGAAAAAAGTATGTGATTTCACCCCAAACCAGATTTCTTTGTGTTGAGATCAGTCCACTTTTTTCCTGGGTTTTGGGTTTTTTCAATTGAGTTGGAGGCAGAACTGAAAAAGTGAATACGGGGCGGGGGGGAAGGGAGGGAGGGGGAAGGGGAAGTGATAGCATTTATGAGAGCAACTGATATCACTGGAAAAACCAGAGCTGTCTTCGGGCACAATAAGGTTGGTTGTTTCTTCCAGCTCTATCAGTTGGTCTCATAAAAGCTATTCCCTCTTCTTCCAAAGTTCTCCTCACTTATCTCCTTAGTCTATCCTGGCTGCAAGACTATATCTATTGAAACAGCAGTTATTAGTACTGTTCGACATATAAAGATAACAGACAAATCCAGAAATTGCAATGGCAGCTAGTTAAAACTCTATCTATTTGTACAGATTCTTGTGTCGAGCCCAAGACTAAAATAGTTCTTTAATCAGAAAGCAAAAAATTAACAAAATATGTTATTAACTCTACCAGCATCAAAAGCTGAGCAAAGCCAGCTCCCATCATGCCTGTTACTTGGCTCCCCCAGTTAGGTTTAACAGCATGCAGCGCCTTGCCAAGCAGAGATGAGCCGCAAACCCGAACAATGTCTAGAAATGCCCATCTAAAATAGGTGCGTGACTGCATCCTTTCACCAGAACGAGCAGCAGATTATCACAACTTGAGGATTTTTAGAAATGGATGGTCTTAGTAGCCATAACTCATTTCTAGAGAGCACAAACAGGGAGGGAGTAATGTATGTGATGCCTCAGAAAAACTCAGTGTAACAGTACTTCAAGGTGGCTGTGGCACAAGCTTCTGGACACAAAGAAATAGGCATTAAAGTGAACATAATGTGGGTGAGCTTGAGACATGCCAAACGGTCTCATGCACTCTAACACAGCATAGCTTCACCAGCTGCACATGCTGCTGGAGAACACCCAACCCAGCTGGACCTCTTTTCAGAGAAGAGCTTTGTGAGGGGGCTTTGGCTCTACTTTGCCCTGTGCTTTAAAAGCCCTGAGCTTTCCATCTCCTATGTCATTCCTTTTTTCTGTAGATCCTTATGCTGGCCCCCTTCTACTGGATGAGAAGCTAGCATCTCGCTGTGGCTATGTCCTGTCAGAAGATGTGTGGGGCAACCCCGTCTTTCGTGCGTCACTGCTTGGCTGCCATGTGGCCAACGAGGTAAGACCCAGAGAGGGACTTGAAAATAACACAGGCAGTACATCCTCTCCAAAAAGACAACATTGAGATATTATATGGCATTCTATTGGCATGTTTTGAGAACTCATGAAATAGTGAACTCAAGGAGTTAGTATTGATGGTGTGTAGAAATGAATAGGCAAAGGCTCTCCAGTATGAGGTTTGTTCAGTGTGACTGACATGGGATTTCCTCTCTCCATGAAATGACACTTAGCCTAATGCTGCTGACTAGCTGCCAGTTCTCAAGCATATCCTTGTAGCTGCTGATTTGCCAGAGAGTTTCTTGAAAGCCTCTCTGGAAAGAAGTAGGCATTGCTTGAAAAAGCAACATTTGCAGTGTGATTCTGGCAGATCATTTCCTGGCTTAATTTGTGTGGTAATGTGCCTGTTAACACATGCCTAGGAACGTAGATCACACACGTCTATTAGACCCAGATTTGTCTCACGTAACTTTAGCCATCTGAAAGATAATGTCTAGTCTAAACTAGTTGTTTATGCTTCCACAATAGTCAATGGAGAGCAACAGGCTTCTCTGGAAGGTGATTCAGCCCTTCCTAAAATATGTGTAAAAGTGTAGCCTGGATTTCCAATTTCTAAGTGTTAGTTGAGATTAAATGAACCTAGAAACAGAACACATCAGGGTAGAAACTTCATTGCTTACCCATGTTTAGTCTGGTTGGTCCTGGAAGCCCCTCAGAAAAAATAAGGTAAAACTTTATAGGCAAAGGTTATGCTAACAAGAATAGGGGGTGTACAGTCTGCTGTCCAACAACCAGGATTTCCAGACTGGCAATTTCACTGGAAAGGTTTTCCCTTTTTCTGCATAAAAATACACATCCATGTCAGATAGAAGCACAGTTCATGACTTCACGTGTGGCTTCTGGAGAGCTGAAGGACCAAAAGGAGTTCATATTGAAGCTAGTCAAGATAGACTCTAAACAGCATTTGTAAGAGAGATCTGAGCTACCTACATCAAGCTAAAAGCTCCAGCACTTTCCCTCATGCGAAGGCACACAGCAGTCATGAACAGGAGGAACATGAGCCACATGGTGAGGTAGGTCAGTTCCCCTGACTAGCTGCTCCTTAATACTGTGGCAAGAATAGTGCTGAGATGTGATCTGAGGTGAAGGCTGTAAATACTGAGGCAATGTCTCTGGCTCAGAAGGCACTCAGAAAGTGCACAAACCACTTCATACATGGTGGTATGTTGGAGGAGCTGTCACTGCAGCTCTCAAACTGTTTCCATCACTACAAAACACTCCAAGAAACAGGACACTGGGCTGGATGGTCCCATGCAGCTGCTCCTGAGACCTTCTACACTATCTGCTGAATTGCCTGTTTTTCTTCCCAGGCAGATGAGCTGTTTTCACTGACTGTGAACATCAAGGTCTCCTCATTTCCAAGCATGAGGGCAGCTGTGACCTACACCTACCCTATGTACTGCTCCTACTCCTCCTGGGCTTCAAGAGAAATCATGTGTGAAGAAAACTACATGGAGGTAAAAGCTTTCCCACTGAAGGCAAAGCTACATCCAAGCTCCCTGCCAGGCACAACAAACTCCACAAATTCCTGTCAGAAGTTGATTTTACACTATGTACTAGGCATAATAGCGACCTGCTGATATTCAGCAGAGGGTGTAACTGTAGACGCTTATTAGTAACACATTTACATGTCATAGGTATTTTGAATGTAGTGAAATTCAGTTAACTGTATGGATGATGTAAGTCAGGCCACTGCAAACAAATCAGCAGCCAGACAGGCCAACCTATTTAACTCACAGGAGTACCTTTTTGTTATAAAGTGCTGAAGCATCTGTGAGAATGTCACTCATATGAAATAATAAAACCTAGAGTTTGCAGAGCTGCACCCCTGCTGCATCACACAACCGACAGGACATCACTGTGAGACAGACTATGCCTCCTGCTGCTTGGCACCATATGGCAACCCAGCCTGCTACCAGCATCTACACACCAGTGTAGAAATAAGGCACTGAACCAAACAGACTTCACTGCCTATTGTACGCACCTTCTATAGGCAAGACAAAGAAACTGGTTTTCCCCTGTTAGGACCTAAGGTTGTGCAGTCATGTCTGGCTGTTGCAACACACTTGTACCATGGTACAGATGTCTGAGGCAAACACTGACTCCCAACTCACCTCACTCTGCAGCACATGCTGGCAAGATTTACACCACAGCATCTACCTTAGGTATTGGTGATCCTACATTTTTAGGGGTTCAGCCCACATGGGAAGAGGGAATCAGTCCTGTTGAAGCCAATACTCTGCTTCCTTATACTTCCAGTGGAGAGACCCAGATGCCCCTGAAAGTCTCTAGAGTGGGATCTAGTTTACAGCTTACCAAATAGGAAACAGCACTTTTGATTTAGCCGGTTATACACAGTGTTCCTTCTGCACCACCTTAAATGTCATGGCTTTTACTTTAAGTCTACATCAAGAACCTCTTTGGGAACACTTTCATTACCTTCAGTGAATTGCTAAATCCCAACAGACACTGGAGAAGAAATCTGAAAGCCCTCTCTCTACTCCCCAAGACTCCAATAACACTGAAGATTGGTCTGTTCCCAAAGAATCTGCTCTGTGTCCCCAGGTGTCAGTGAAGACTGATGTCCCTGCAGTTTCAAATGACTACACCGTAGCATGGATGTCAGCACTGCCAGAGGTATGAAGGGGGACCTTTCCTCACAGTTCCTAGCCTGCCTCTTCTCAGTAGTCTTATGAGTCATTCCTGGGGCATAGCTCCATCTCTGTCAAAAAAAGGGACATGGTAAAGATGCCATCAAGTACTGAAAAATCTCTCAAGTTTTCTTAGAGCTCTAGACTGCAAAAAGACATTTAGGTGGGAGAACAGAGCCATATGCTTGTTACATTAGTGGAAACTGAGTTCAAGACAAACAAAGGTACGTGGTTCTTCACACAATGGGTAGTGAATCTGTCAAAGTCCTTGCCAAAAGATTCGTGGCTGCTGAATGGTTGCTTGATCTCAAGAAGAGTCTGGAAAAGTTGACTGAAGAGAAATTCAATAAGACATACAAAATACAAAGAAGCTACAGATAGCTCAGGAGTCCCTGAGTTGAAAATTATTTGAGGCTGGAAAGTATTAGGGGGAAATATACACACTTGTCCTATTTTTCTCATGTCTTACTTGCTCCATATGCCCCTTTTCCTTTTTGACTATCATCTCATATGGTTACCATCTCAGGATCCTCTGTTCTAGACCAGTACAGACAGCCCTCTCTTCCTATCTCTGACACAGTATGGCTACGTGCTATAAAAGGTAGTCTGGCATTTGGCCTCCAGACTGCTCCAGCAATCAAGAGACATGAAGGCAACCATTTTATTTACAGCACAGGCATTTTGTCCAACGGAATTTGTTCAAGACCACCAGTCTAACTGCCTTCCAGGGCCCCTAAAAGACTATCTAAAGATGCCTTAAAGAGCTACAGAATTCCTTTATATAAATTAAGGGGTTTTCTTGCCTGGGGTGAAGTAGCAGTGTCCAGTGTCATTCCAGTTACTACAGCTTCTTAGAGGAAATTAGGTGCTACAACACCATAGTTTCTAAGAGGCTTTTGCAGACTTAGATCTGATGCAGTTCATCTCTCTCTTGCAGACTCAAAATGTTGCATACCAGCTATGGCAACTGATGTTTGTTTCTCCATCAGGGAGAAAGAGAATAACGGTAAGCGATGCAACAAAACTGGGCTACAGCTTCAATAACACGCTGTCCCGAGTGTACCTCCGTGCACCCTATCATAGCAACGAGTCTGACATCAGCATGGTGAGTTGTTGCCCTCAGTGAGACAGAAACCTGTGCTGTTTCCACTGCCACTCTAGAACATCAATTCTTTTCTTCTACCTGCATCCCAATAGGTTAGTGGCGTCAATATGAACATGGTCACTTCCACTTCCATGTACAGGCAGCGATGGCTGCTTTTGCTGATTGACACCACTGTCTCCTGTCCTGTTGGTAAGGCTTTCTTCCTTCTTCACTAAAAATAACTACCTAAGGAGCAAGTAGAAAACAGTCTTCCCTTTTCCCTATAAGAGAAGAGGTTTACAAGCTGTCCTCAGAGCAACATGAGCTAAGAGTCCATGACTTTAGTCCCGGACAAACAGATTCCCTGCTGTGATGCTACATTATTTGTGTTCCTAATGCAGTGTGTCCAATTTCCCAAGCCCCCATGTTAGATGTAGGGA